TGCTGTTTCTAACATCTGTAATTTAATACTTCATACCTTACTAAACGGAGACCAGAATCTTAGCCATGACATTAATTCTGAAATTGTTCTAGCAGTTCATGTATATATACGTGAAAGTAACCGATTTTCATGAGATTATATTCACAAAATAATTTGCCAACTTGACCTATCCGAATGAATCTTCTTTACCTTCTTTCTAATTCTTTTCAATTATTTATATTCTTTGAACAATAGCTAAAATCTTCGTTTTTTTTTCGTTTCAAATATGTTCAAAATTAACTTCATTGTTTCAAACAATATTGCAAACACTGTCATAAGTTAACTCCATTGTACACATATGTAGTTTTATTCATGCTATTTACGTTTTAAACGAACAAATGTCATATATTCTGGATATTCTTGGACCTTATAATATGTAATGTAATTGTGAACAGATAGAATGGAAATAAAAAAGTGGCTTTGTTTAAACCTTTTACTTTTTCAATGCATTGTGTTATAGCCAGAATGAATATTCGTACTTATTATTTCCATATGTAGAAATTTAATAACTTTTTGTATAATAAACTAACTTACTCGTTCTGTCAATATGTCAGTATATTTGGTTACTTAATTAATATAAAGAAAAAAACAACTTTAAATTGACAGACAATTGAAATTATTTCAATCTAAATTACATTGGCACCATTGTCTTAGACAAGTAGCTTGTCTAAGGAAAATGGTGGACTTCGCAGGTTTCTTAGCGTAGAACTGATAACTGATAACTGTGACCCCTGCCAGTTTGATTGACAGGCGGCGTAATGTCAATTAACAAAAGAACAATAACAATCTAAGGCATATTAAATGACAAAAGTTAATAATAAGAAAAGTATATACTAGTAGGCCAAATGTTCCACTATATAGGTTCAACTAGATGTTACTGTGACCCCGATGTCTTTTTGCCTTGTATAAGTAAAGAACAAACTGAGGGTTACTGGTTCATCAATTTAATTTGTAGTGGACACTAGCTTTATATATAATTCCAATTCGGTACATCTCAACATTAAACATCATATGTCATACATCATACAACATACACAGCACATTTACATCACAGTTACATCACATCTACATCACATCTACATGTCACAATGACCAACAACTTCTTTAACACAAAGAGTGACCTCAAGTGACCCTAACTTTAGCAGGGAAACGATATGGTTGAGCAAATAGCAAATGTGGTCCAGGGGACATAATCACACAAAGTAAAGATAAAAAAAAAAACAAGGCCGTCAGAGTTACCTTTCTTGAAAAATAGCCTTAAATAACCTTAAAAATAGCACTCGGTTACATTACCTTCTTTAGAAATTCGATTCTAGATGAAAACATTTATTTGCTACAGCATTAATAGTATTTTCATTCTCTCTAAACATCATATATACAAACGGTTCTGAAATTTTTAGAGTTTTAAAATTTGTACCTTTTCAGATAAACGATAAATTAGTTCTTTCAGATTCATATAGATAACATCTCAGCATAAAGTGTTTAGACAACATTTGCAAATTGTATCATTGACAGGAATGTTTCGATATCTTCCCATTTGTATTTCTAGATTATGGGCAATTATTCGAAATTTAGTAAGAGACGCTCTAATAACAGGATTTTAATAAACGTACAAATAAGGCTCATATATGAAACTTTTTAATTTTTTTTAATAAGTTCCCAATTTTCCAGTGTGTTCTTTATATCATGTATTAAATCGTTCTGCCCATTTGATTTTAAACTCACTTACAGCTATTTTATTAACAAGTTTCGATAAATTCTTACTAGGTAATTACTTTTAGTTTATCTAAAACAAAGATTATATTTGGTACCTAGCTATATTTGTTGTTTGCATGCAAGGTTAAATTTTCTTGAAATGCAGAGTGTATCGATGAAGTTGGTTTTGAGTATAGAAGCCTACTAAAGTATTTTGTTGATTGCGTAAATGTGTTGTAGTACGGATTTTCTGTTTTATCTTATAGTTAAGACCCACATGTCATGCTAATATAATACGTATTATAACCCTTTTAGTAATTTTGTTCTGTTCATAACATTTATCAGGCAGAATGGGCTATTGTTTACGTGACACTTAATTACTAATGACCGGTGGGTGTAATGTGTTGTAATACGGATTTCCTGCTTTATTTATAATTAAAACCCGTAGATTTGCAAAAGATAATTGAGTACTTAGGCGGACAGCTCGTTCGGCCATTAGTTATTAAGTGTCACGTAAACGATAGCCGATTCCGCTTGATAAATGTTATGAAAGAACTAAATTACTAAAACGGTTATAAAATCTATTATTAGCAGTACTTTAACGAACAATTCATTTAATACAATGGCGGACAATGAAAAACTACTTAACTTCGTAAACAACCACTAAAATAAAGTTATCAAATTTATTGTGTAAGCATATCCGTTAAGGAAAGACTTATTGTATAATAAATCATGATTAATTATTCATATCTTTTATATCATATCGTAAAATTGAACTATCCGTAAATGCATAACATGTATTAATATGAATTTCACATGTTAAAAGCTATAACACATGCTCAGATTATGATCTTTTGTTTAGGTGACTTATAGGTGACTTAGAACTAACTAACTAAACCATTTATTTCACAATAAAATCACTTCATGTCAGGAATACTATCTTTTATAATAACTCTGATTAATGTCTTCCAGCTATATTGTACCAGGCCCCTTTAATCTTCTTTAAAATTTTGTTAAGATGCTCAAGACTTGGTGACAAATAATCGGACTGGACTGTAGAGAACGATATTGTTTTTACGAACAATGAAATGATCACAATTATAACAATGTTCTTTATTAAATAGAAATTGTTAGGGTTAGAGTGACTGATGATACTTGTTTAGGACAACTGTCAAAACCTATAGATCCGTTTAGCTGAAATATGCTATTATGACATCTGCCAATAGTGGGCTACTCTGTAAAACTCTGTATGGCTAGGACACTGTAATCCACAGTACTTGATAATAATTCCTTACTTCTGGAGGTACGCCAGTTTAAGATTAGAATTGAGTCACAAAAAAGAAAGACTCTTCACGGTTTACTTATTTTAATTAGTGTTAAACTGTTAATGAATTCATATGCGAAATATTCAAATAACAGTATGGTATGTAACATCAACACATGTTCCTAATTCAGTCTTAAATATCCGATAGCTATTTCTTACATAGACTTCACATAAATTATATTACCGCGACTGCCGTTTAATTTCTATTCAAAACTATCAAAACGTTCATAATATATAAAGTTTGGTCGAGTCAGTGACCCTATTAATGTGAAACAAATTTATAAAGTTCTTATCAATTATTCTTAGACAATAATTGATTAAATGTAAAATAATAATCTAAAGACTATGTTTTATTTTGCCTTAAAAATAAGTAAAATCTGCCGTTCAGAAGAACACGACAGTAATGTAGACTAACCGAAAGTTAAATGAAAACTGACTCAAGTTGATCGTTTTCTGGCCTATTTATACCAAATCTGAGAAATTGAACATAAAAAGGTTCGCAAAATGTTTTGGTCGGTTGACAATGTTCGAAGTTCGAAAACTGAACATTTGACGTTCGGAAACGATCATTTCCATACACAAAGAACGCTGTCAACCAACCGAACGTCTGAACATCAACAATTCTTAGCCAAAGTTCTATGAAAGTTTACGTAAAAATACGATATATTGATACATATAACATTTATAAAAATGACTAGTACCATGGATTGGCTATAAGTTTGTTGCTTTTGATGAAACATAACTTTGATACGGTTTGTTAACTGAGTTTAGGCAACAATTGCTATTGACAACGGAAGTCACAAACCCATAATGCATCAGCAAACAACAACAACAACACCTGTCAAAGTTTATCGAGTAAAATTACAATAAATGTTAGTTTGTAGCTAAATGTACGCTGTTTATAAGAAAATATGTAAATAATTAATGCTTTATAATTATGACATTATTTATAGTAATATAAAGCGTGTGTCCTAAACGAGAAAACAATGGGCGGAACTAAATAAAATGGAATTTTGAAAGGGGATCAGAGGTTATGAAGCTTGCATATCACAGATAAGACGTCAAAATACAAATTTAAAAAGCAGGCAACATATCCTAAGGGCGATTCAACATTATTCAAGTAGGAATATTGGAACCACCTAACTAGAAAATGTCGAAAAGTAGAAACTAAAAATACCACAAGCACAACAATAATGTCGTGCTGAACGATCTTTAAGGATCGGAAATATAATATCTCTGATTGAATGTACGGACTGTAACATTGTTTATTTTTTAAACGCCTTTAACGAACAGGAAAAGAGGCTCAACTGGTCATTTACTTTTATAAAAGTTTCCTAACATAAGGGACTTACGTTTTGCAGATTTACTTTTTCTAGGCATGCATAAATAATGTCGGAATAAGTGAAAAAAATACGTTGGTCTCTAGATTTCAATTTCTTAAATCGTCAAATCTGCACATTTATGAGACAACCTAGAAATAAATCTGCGGTGCAGGGTATGAATAAATAAGTGACTAGATACCGGATCCTGTACCTAAGAAGCAAAGCACAAAACATCTTTTAGAAACTGAACTACTTGTAGTATGAACCGGAACAAAAATCAACTACCTGTCCTTCCCACAAATAATCCTCCATCTGTAAAATTCTATACTGTAACCGGAAAACGCGATACTGTAACACGTTGCCTACGGTGAAAATGGTGTGTGTTTTACTAGGTTAAGTTTATTACACAAAAGAGTTTTCATTTATCGAAATTGTGGACTTTAATGCTTAGGTTTCTGATTCTTCTCGTAGGTTATATATGAAAGCAATATATCATTAGAACATTTGCAGTTAACTGCGTATTGGCTAAACTGATTGCAAACGATTAATTCAATTGTTAAATCAAAATAGATCGAGCACTTGCATTTGATTGATATTTATATATTGTTTACACCTTTCAGGTGGTGCCGAACATGCAGTTGCTGGCGAAATGAACTACTTAAAACTAGGAAATCACCAAATGTACGTTGGGAACTCACACATTCGTGGGAATGGCCTCGCTCTTATACAAATATAATTGAAGTTTATATTCCAGCTAACTGGCCAAATGGTGACATAGACATAAAGGACGTGTCAACTGCATGTTTCATCTGGGAAAACTGTTCTGAACAGTTTAAGATAAAACCGTTCATAATTAAGAACATCCGACAGTTCAGGAATAAGTATTTTGGCCACAACATGTCCATGAAAGCAACTGATTTAGAGAAAACAAAAGTGTTTGATGTTTTAAAGGATCTGTTTAAAGAACCAGATGTGCAAGGCCATATTGATGCTCAGGACTGCATTAACCATCTTTTAAATATTGAGCAGGGAAAACAGATTGAAAAATGGATGATTGCAGTTCAAAATTTACTTGAGCATCATAGGTTTAAACTTGGTGATATTGCAACAAATACAGAACAGCATCATCACATTCTAGAAGACATTCAGACCAGCCAGAACGTCTCAGTTGAAGGGCAAGAAGATTTACGAAGAGAAGTTAAAAACATTCGGACAGATTTTACAATATTCAGGAGCGACTTTAACACGATATTTAAAAGAAATGATTCAATTTTTTCCAATATGGCGAAAGGATTAGACATTATAGTTTCACTACTATTAGTCATTTTTGTCATGTCAGGTATATTTGTCTTCAAATATTTTGAGTACGAAACAGAAATGGACAAATATCATGATCGAGGTAAGTTAGATATAAGAAATATTTGTACTGGTTACTTTTCATTTATATTAATAATTTAGACTGTGCTTTCTCGTTTTTCTTAAAACATTCATTCGTTGTATTACATTTTCTCACTAACTTTATCTAATTTGTTTTGGCTTTAGTTTGTATTTTTCATTATTTTGTATTTTCATTTTCGGATGATAATTATGCACGGTTTGTTTGAAGCATATTAATTAATAAAGTAACATCGAAAATAGATCTTCAATAGCACTGTTCCGACTAATCCTCTGGCTTACGAAAGAAAGTATATTATATCACATTTTAGGCAATGAGTCAGAATTTATAGAATTTCCATGGCAATGTATATTTTCTTTCATATTCTTCTTCTTCACTTCCTTCCTTCAGTTCCTCCGTCCACAAAACTGGATCCCGTGATAATGTAAAAAGTACTGAAAATATTTTTACTTAATTTGATTACGGAAACATAGTAGCCTGAAAGTTATCCACATCCTTCTCTTTTCTTATTTTCTTCTTATATTTAAAAATTCGGTTGCTATGGCAACATATAGACTGAATATATGGCAAATTTAACACAAAACTGGATCCTTTGATAATGCAAGAAGTACTGAAATATTTTCATGCAACTTGACAAATGGGTAGCTTGCAGTCCGGAAATTATGCACGACTTCTTCTTTTCTCTTTGGTTGCTATGGCGACAAAAAGAGTGAAAGTATGGCCTTTTAACAATATTTGTGATGACATACTGAACATATTTGTATGGAACTTGAAATGTTGATGAATGGCAGTATGGAGATTATACGCATCATTGTAATCTTAACTTTAGAGAGTATATCGAGAGCTGTCCTACTCACCAAGCGTTTGTGACCTCGTCAAGATTCTGTTTCAAGTTTCTACGCTTTTTAGCTCGAATATTTGCAGAATACTCGAGCTAATGTTGTCACCAATTTGTCAGCTTCGGCGTCCCTGTGGTAAAGGTTATAAATGTAAGCTGGTATCTCCATAACTACTGAATATGGATTGAAACTTCACACAGTTGTTCTCTGTGATTATCTTACTTGATAAGCACAAGTCCCATAGTTCTCATTTGCTTTTTTGCATATTTATGCCCCTTTTTGACTTGGTTAAGTTTTTACGTGTAAGCTTGTATCTCCATAAGTACGGAGGGGAACGGATTACAACGTCTTACACTTATTCTCTGTGATTGAATGGTACAAGTACCGTAATTATCTCAATATTTTTTGTATAATTAAGCCCCTTTAACAACTTAGAATTTCTTGGTTAAATATTTTCGTATAAGCTGGTATCCCCATAACTACTGTAGGGTTTGTGCCTTTTTGTGACATTTTTTTTTTTGCATTCATGATAACCAAGCAGTAATTTACTCTTAATAACATGCCTTTGTACCTTTTTGTGACAATTTTATGTATTCATATAGGTAAGCATTATTATACTCATGAAACATCCTTGTGACAACTCTTTCGAATTGTCGAGCGTTGCTGTCCTCTGACAGCTCTTGTTCAGTTAAAGTTCTTCATTTCTAAAGGTAATTACTGCAAACTTTAAATATATGCTTCTGATCATCAACCGCATCATATGTGACAAGGTTTACAACTCTAGCACACAAATTATCAGAATAACCCCCGTTGAATTAGGAATTTTCATGAAAAGAATGCTTTTTAAACTTCTTTATATTTCAAGATCTTCTTTATTTGTCTTGTTTGTTTGACGAGTGCAGATATTATATGGGATATTTATTCTACCAACATGTTGCGTACAATTTACTTCATATAACATCAATAAAATAATAATTTATATTTCCATTTGTTTTCGTTGTATATAACAATGCATTTAGTATAACATTGTTATTTCTAAAGAAAGCGCGGTTAGTGTGGCAGTTGCATGGTATAAGCGGTTACCATAGAAACTGCCGTTTACAAAAAGAATCAACAGATCAACATATTTTTTTCCTTTTTTATTTCACAATAGGATTTTACCTTTTATCTCAAAAATATAGAAAATTATATGAAAGCATTTTTCAATATCTTCATTTTTTTACAGAATTCATGTCAGTTTTTTGTAGAAAACTCATTTTGTAAAGAAATGTGTTCAGATGATTTATTTTTTCCAAACAGAATGAAAAGCTAACATTTTCTATGTATGAAATCATGTTTGCTATGTGTATAAAGTTGCCCAATACTTTTTATTATCAATAAGAAAGCTTTTTTGACAGTTTTGAGAAATACGGTTACCTTACCATGGAAACTGCCATTTTACAAAAACATCGAACACGTCCACATAAATTTTCCTTTTCTTTTTGAATTCGTCATTAAATATCACCTGTCGTACAAAAAAAATAAAAAAATTCTATGAGAGCATAAAATTTTCCAGAAAATTTAAGAACTCTACAGATTTAAGATCTTGTCATGTCATGTCATTCATTAAGTCATTACTTCATTCATTCATTCATTCATTCATTCAATGGCATAATTGAATGACCAATGGCCCTTCAGAATACTGCTGGGGTTCTCACCGGTGAGGGACTTAATAATTGCCTGCAATACAATGATAATTGTTTTTCTTTGTTGCAGCATGCATGTCAGAACAGTACAGTGTACCGTTTTCTCAAGATCTTCCACTCCTGGGTTATTTGAATGAGCACAAGGCACTTGTCGGTCGTCAATGGTTAATGGAAAGTTTGCACCACGATCTGTTCAATTCTAACAACAGTAAAAACCATGGTATTGTACTTGTTGCCGAAATGGGTTACGGTAAATCTGCATTTGTTTCAAAACTATTATGTCCGGGGTCGATGAATATAGCCAAAGATATTAATAAACACATTGTTGCATTTCATGTGTGCAAATTTGATGTACAAAGTACTCATTTGCTAGAACGATTTATACGCAGACTTGTTGGATTTTTCGCAAAGAAAAGTGCGGAATATGGTAACATAGTATCAATGTTTCCCGAGAGTCACATTTTGTTTAACAGAGATAGTTGTAACAAAGAACCAGAAGCTTGCTTTGACCAAGGCGTCACTATACCACTGAAACAGTTATCTAGTGTCACAGATACACCATGGGTTATAGTTGTAGATGCCATTGATGAGTGTGGGCGGTCTGGAAATAATCCAGTTTTAAACCTTTTGTCAGACAGAATTAGACAGCTTCCAAAATGGCTCAAGTTTCTTATTTCTTCCAGAGATGTCCCACAACTAACAATGCTAAGAAAAATGAAGCTTAATTATCTGTACTCAAATGACTCAAGAAATAAAGAGGACTTAAAGACTTTTATTGAAAAATCATTTCCAAAACATACTCACAGAGCCATGATAAGCAATCTTGTTTATAAAAATGAAGGAAATTTTGTATATATCATCCAGGCATTAAAATGGATTATCGATAACAATGACAATGAAACCGTCCCAGACTTTCCTGCAGATCTAGGCGAGATTTTTGATATCAATTTTGGTAGACAGTTTGGTTATACATCTTATATGATCCCAAAATTAATATTGGAGATCATTTGTTCCACGACGAATCCACTTTCAAAATCAGAAACTTTTGCCATTCTAAAATCTTCAAACATTTCATTGACAATAGACGAGTTTGACCTGTATTTTAAGTCCTTAAGCTTCTTCCTAAGAGAGGGTGAAGATGTTGGCATATCTCACAACGCTTTATATTTTTGGCTTATTGATAAAAACAATGAAAATTATCGAATTTCACTTCAGAATGGCCATACTCTTATATCTAAATATTTGTTTAGTAAAATGTCTGACAATAATACGAAGAATATTGTTGATTTAGCGATTCATGTTGCAAACTCTGCCGATATGTCTTTAAGAAAACTGTTTCTCTCATCAAAGTTTTTGATAAGTAACGAGGTACTTAACGACTCTATTTTACATAAATTGATTTGGAGAACGCCATGTGTTGAGGCACTAGAGCTATTGATACATCATTTCCCTGATGTGAATGCTTTTAACGAAGGTAATGTCACACCGTCATTTGTTGCAGCAGCTAAAGGACATACTGACCAGTTAAAACTTTTATTTAGCAAAGGGGCAAATTTAAACTTTATTGTTAAAGGTCAAATGTTGATAAATTCTTATGATGTATTTAATAAGTTAGAAATGATGAAATTGTATTTTTATTCTGGGTACAGTCTATTGCACATTGCATCACAGCACGGCTATACATCAACTGCAATATATATTTTGGCACAGAACCAATCTTTGGTTTATGTAAGAAATACTTTGGGTTTGAATGCCGGTCATGTTGCATGCGAGAATGGACATTTAAATGTGGTCAAAGAAATGAGAACCCTTCATACTAAAGTATTCTTTTATGAATGTATGTATTATGCGTCTAAAAAAAATCATAAACATATTGCAGAATGGCTTGTGTCAATTGGATTTACGTTTGAATGCATTTCCAACCAACGTTCCTTTGAAGCTTTTCAAAACATAACAAAGTTAGATCATTTTCATTTGATTGAGCATAATATTGCTACTTTTCCAATTGATTCTTTAACATTACACTTTATTGTGCCATTAGATATTTGGTGGATTGTTTTAAAACATAACCCACTTATGATAGCAATCAAAACTGGTTCAATGGATGTAGCTAAATACTTACTCAATACGTTTTATGAAGCACGCAAGTGTTATGACGCATTTGGGTATACTGCGGCGCTTGCAAGTGTACGCTTTAACCGTACCGAGCTTTACCCTTTATTAAACGACGAAATAGCTTCCGACAGATGTGGAAAAACTCCAAACCATTTAAATGATGTAGAGGTTATACAGACGTACTTATTCGAAGGATGTCCAGAAGGTGGGTCACTATCACATGTTGTCGCTTTATATACTCAAAGTGACCAAATTTATGTTCATGTTATTAGAAATAAACTCGATGTGAACTGGGACCATCCCGATAACTTTGGAAATTACCCGATTCATTATGCTGTTGCCAATCGAAATTTTCTTTTTATGTTTTTGATTGAGGAGGGCACATTATTATCAAAAGGTAACGCACATATTTCATTGATAGATACGGTAGTGTCAAATGGCTCAACTGCATATCACACATCCGCTATTTCTGGCCAATTCATAAGCATGCTATATCTAACAGATTCTTTCAAGAAGCCAGTTCCAGACATTAAAGACAACAACGGTCGTGGGATACTACATTATTTAGTGTTAAAAAAGTTTGATAGTGTTGTGAGCAGACCAGACATGGAAATGCATGCGCAATCATTACATACTCTTCGCTATTTGCTGGAAATATCAAACCATTCTCTTTTGACGCGTGACAGTTTTGGTAGAAACATATTACACTACAGTTTTAGAAACGGTCATTGCCAAGTAGTTTCATACCTGCTTGAAAATCAGGAGACGCACTTTTACACTATGTTAACAGATATAGATCACGAAGGAAATAATCCATTTGACTTTGCTTTGAAGAAGTACGAAAGAAAGAATTACGTAATGATGGTACCAAAAGATGATTTGTTTTCTGACATATACTTCAGTTCCGCAAATATCGAATCGAAAGACTTCCTGGACATTATGTCATCATGGGAGCTTACAATGCAATACTTGATATCAAATTTATCTGCTCAAGAATACCACCTCTTCGTTGAGCCAAATTTGAATTTTATAATCGAGAAAAGTCCTTATCTTCTAACTACTGTATTGGCATATCATAAATATGTAAATGTGAAAAGTTTGCAACGTTTAATTGTTGAAAGTGAGGTCAATGCTCTGACAGGTTATATGCATTTTGTCATTGCCCGCCATAAACCATTAGCATTCATTTCATGTAACCAACCATTATCATTATCACCTTTGCATTATGTTTTACTTACGCATGATCATAGAGTTTCTGTGTTTAAAGATTTGCATGATTTCCTACACATGATTTTCAAACAAAATAAATCGTATGCGTTTGAATGTCCCGATGAAAATGGATTTAACATATTTCACTATTCTTTAATCGGCGGAAATGTTCAGTCAGCCAGAATTCTAATGGGAGCAAATATTTCCATAACAAATGAATACGTAACTTTAAAAGACGTTTTCTTGATGACTATGCAAGCTCGTTTAAAAAGAGACGAACGTGATTATATTGAATACAATGACAAACCGTCCGATCAAATACAGCAAAAATGCATAGATAAGTTTCTATTAAATTTTTTCTATTCGAAATGGAAATTGTTTAATCATAATTTCTTCTGTGGGAATAAAACCAAGGAATTATCTCTGGTGCATTTGTTTGCAATTAATGGAATGTCTCTAACGATGGCAGCTGTTGCACAAATGTTTGGGAAGGAAATTTTGAATTGTCAAAGTAGAGACCGATTTACCCCCTTGTACTTTGCAAAACTATTTCAACATGACGACATTGTGTCTTTAGTTGGTAAGCAGTACGGTTTTACACGTCCAACTGTCCAGGCAGAAGAATGGTTAATCTGGTCTATGTTAAATAAGTTCCCACAAACAAATATTTCTGAACCATTATTTCATTTTTTAAATTATTTGCCCATTTCTCCACATTCTTCAAGACTCTTATTGAAAGAGTCAACTTTGGTTTCTAATAATTTTGAAAATTCATTTCTAAACGGTGCCGGAGATTTTTCTCACAATTGTGATAAGGTATTAGTTAAGCTTTTATCATCCGATGTACCTGATATTTTATCTAATATATATCTTTTGGAATCATTATATTTTAACGAGGGATCGGTTTCTTGTACTTCACGAGAAGCTTCACTTATACAGAACAACAAAATGTTTCAAACGACCATAACACTTCTATCCTCTTTGAAATATATAGAAAACGGATGTGATGTTTCTAAAAAGCTTGTTAGACCATTTCTTGTCAAATGCTTTCACTTGAACAAGTTATTAACAGAGATGAAAATTATGACAGTAAATGATTGTATCAACAAATCGAGTTTCAGTTTGAAAGGAGTTATAAACTATCAATTGATAATTTCAACAAGGAAGTTATGCTTAAAACTACATCGATTTTATAAAAGTGTAGCTATTTCTTTTTTGATACAGTATGGAAAAACATTTAAAATTCGACTACCAGAATCATACAAATTCATGCTATTAAGAATGACAGAGCTTGAATTCAATGTTGAAGAAAAATTTAGTGTGTTATTAAAACTTCATCCACTTGTTGCTATAAATGACACTTCTTTATATAGGCATAGATATCTAAACATTGTAAAGTCAACAATCGCTTATAAACATTTAAAACCTCGTCTTGTTGTAGACAAATTTAGTATGAAAAGTTTGTTTGACAAGTGTAAGATTGAAGTTGATGTTATTAAAAGTGTCCTATTGAAACCTTTTAAAGATTTAGACTAGTTATATCAATTGTAAGGATCTGACATTCTAGCATTATTCTGAAATGTACTTACAACAGAACTTATAATGAAATCCAAGTGGCATTGTGAAATCCTATAGCTTCATCTATTGTTGACTTCTACAAGATAAAGATTCACTTACCTGATTGATCTGAAGGAACACTGTATTGACACTTATTGACTTTGCAATTTAGCTGATAGAAATGTTAAACTTACCTTATTGTATAGCAGAAAACTGATTTTCTCTTTATATTTTCTGTGTAGCAGACGTCCAATGCCAGACATCTTTGAAATCTGTCACTTCATACTTTATATTGAAGATTTCTTATTGTTAATATCAATTTCAGTCAAATTCAATTCACGAACGTAATTTATGTAAAGTTTATGATTGATTAAGGTCAGAAATCCTTACGTATTCACTACATGTTTTTGTATATTAACGATTTTCGTATCTAAATCTTATATGAGTTTTCAATATAGCCGCCATTGAAATCCAAGATTTCAGATTCAGAAATCCGGCCGTCTGTCCATTGGAGGATTTCCGGATTTCTGTTGTTTCATTGGTGGATTTCAAACATCGAACCTTATAAAAGTCGGAATCCAACCAATGTCACTTCGGTCTTGACCTCCAAGTAATGTAAATAAAGTTTTAAAACCGCCAAAGTTCAAATTCAGTAAACATCTTACAAACGTTATTGTTATCCAAACTTGTAAGTTGGTATGTACTTAAATCCAATATTATTAACTCACTAGACACTGTTGTTGCCGAAATACTTGTTATAAACTTAGAAAACTGTATAAGAATTGTATTTATTTTCCCCATTCTGACATACGTTTACACAATATATGATAATATGTAATAACTAGTTAAAACATGGCAAAATTTATTGACTTTTAGGTCGTTAAAATAAACAGTGATTATTTTCTTACTTAATCTTTATAGTTGTTCTTCAAAATTATTATTTTTAGAAAATCGATGTTCTGTGCACGAAATAAGTGATAGTGTTGTTAATTTGTAAATATTTACTTTATGATATTTTATCAGAGTTGTTGTATACATGTAGTTGTAGCATAGCCGTTTTCTACTTTTCAGGATTTTTTTTTTCAAATTTAATTGTTCACTTCATGTCATTTTATCTTGATCGATGCATTTGTAGTGATGTACATACACTATTTGAAATTATTAAAATATGATAAACAAGATCAACAAGGAAAGTGCCGCGTTCAGTAAATTAAGCCTCTTATTTACATGTTTTATTTTTATAATATAATGATCATGAACCGCAATGATTGATTCGTTGGTTGATTGATTGATTGATTGATTGATTGATTGAATTTAAATTTAAGCTCTTTAGTATTTCGGATCATAGCTGTTTTTATAAGAAACAATTGTATAATATGAAATGTATTTATAGAAAACAAAAACTGCAACACCTACATTATCTCAATATTACATTGTATTTTGTATTACCTTATTTTATAATTGAATTTATTGCTTTTTTATGTATGAACATGTTTTATGTAATTGTACATAAATAATTGAAAAAGAGTGAATGTATGGATTTTTACTGTTCCGTTGTAACGAAAAAAAAAAATTTACAATAGCATTGAATTTAAAAATAGAAACAATTACTATATGAAATTCAAAATACTACTTTGTTTACATTTCGATACTTTAAATTCACATTCAATGTTACCGTCTTGACTGATTGATTAATAAGCATCTTACATGCTCCAAAACCAATATTTAAACGTTATAATACTCATCTTTGCCCTAATGGGAGAAAATATTTCCATAACAAACGAAGATGTAACTTTAAAAAACGTTTTCTTGATGACTATGCAAGCTCGTATAAAAAGCGACCAACGTAATTATATCACATGCAATGTGCAACCGTCCGATCAAACACAGCAAAAATGTATAGATAAGTTTCTTCTAGAATTGTTTAATTCGAAAAGAGATCGTTAAATAATCACTTTTTTGTGATAATAAAACCATGGAATTATCTCTGGTGCATTTGATTGCAATCAATGGAATGTCTCTAACGATAGCAGCTGTTGCACAAATGTTTGGGAGGGAAATGTTGAAATGTCAAAATAGAGACCGATTTACCCCCTTGTATTTTGCAAAACTATTTCAACAAGACGACACTGTGTCTTTATTTGGTAAGCATAACGGTTTTACACGTCCAACTGTCCAGGCAGAAGAATGGTTAATCTGGTCTATGTCAAATAAGTTCCCACAAACAAATGTTTCTGAACCATTATTTAATTTTTTAAATTCTTTGCCCCTTTTTCCATATTGTTCAAGACTTGTATTGAAAAACCCAACTTTGGTTTCTAATAATTTTGAAAATTCATTTCTAAACGGCGCCGGAGATTTTTCTAACAATTGTGATAAGGTATTAGTTAAGCTTCTATCATCCGATATACCTGATATTTTATCTAATATATATCTTTTGGAATCATTATATTTAAACGAGGGATCGGTATCTTGTACTTCACGAGAAGCTTTACTTATACAAAGCCACAATATATTTCAAACGACCATAGCACTTCTATCCTCTTTGAAATATATAGAAAACGGATGTATATAACATTTCTCTTATGTATGCAAAATATAGAAAACGGATGTGACGTTTATAGAAACGTTTGAGACCATTTATTGTGAAATGTTTTCTCTTGAATAAGTTTTTAACAAGAATGAAAACTATGAAGTTAATGATTGTAAAAACAAGTTTGGAGGGAGTAATAAACTATCAATTGTTAGTTTTTGCCAAAATCTCCATCGATTGTATAAAAGTGCAGGTAATACAGTGTGGAAAACATTCGACTACAAGAATCATACAAATTATGCTTTTAAGAATGACAGCGCTTTAATTCAATTTTCAAGATAAATTTTGGTTGTTATTAACACTTCATCCTCTTGTTGCTTTAAATGTCACTTCTGTATATAGTCGTTGATATTTGAAGATAATAAAATGCTTATAAACATTTAAAACATCAGTTTTGTAGTAGAATATCCTCTTACCAGTCTAAAATTGAACCCCATGTTATTGAAATCCAATTAAAAGACCTTTTTGAAGATTTAGAATACTAGTAGTTATAGCAACATAGGGTAATGTACAATAATCATTAAAACATGAAATTTATTGCCCATAATAATTCAACAGTATTTTTTCTTACTCATCATGATCTTAAAATTCATGGTTATAAATAAAATCTATTTCAACGTGCTTTGTGCTGGAAATTTTTTATTTTATTATTAGAAAATATGTATTTTGTGGCGTCCACTTTTGTTCGGGCATAATAGTGGTTATAGGGGCCATTTAGTTATCATATATTGAGGGATTGTAACACAAATGGTAATTATTATGACAACATCTGTGAAACTTAAAATTTAGGCAATATATGCAAGGTCAAAGTTACCGAAGATAATGAAGTATATCCAGATATTGTGCAGGGCATATCTCTTACATGAATAGAGGCATAATTATAAAACTTTAAATTACATACTTTGCGAGTCAGTTTGATCTATTTGGCTACGCAGCGTGCCTTAATTTGTCAAATTATGTTGAATGTAATATTCTTTTTAATTTTATCTTAGTACAATGCATATTCATTAGGATGACTCTGCAGGGAATGAGCGGCCTGAAAAAATACAGAAATGGTCTACTTAACAATAAAAGGGTAATGAAGAGTACTTACTAGGAAAATTACATTTAGGTGTAGGAGCCCAAGTAAAATCTTGTAGAATTTTCATAACCCAGTTACTATAAGGGGAAGTTCATGATACAAATTGCCATATTTTTGTCAAGACTGCAGAGGAGTTCAAGAAAAATATAATTTGCCTTTGTAAAATGGTGTGTCATTGATTTCTCATGGTAATTGTTCAGAGTCTAGAGCAGTGTTTTTGTTAGATTCCTGTTTAGTTTCTCTCGGTGGCTTTTGGAAAGGAAATCGTTTCCATACCATTTTCTATTTTTAATTTAATAAAGAAATGTGCAATATGGATTGCTGGAAATGCTGTTTTCCTGTATTCACTTCTATGAAATTTTCTTTAATATCGCCGGTCAATATGTGATCTTCCGGTGAATATCACATCATATCCAATGGCATAATAGTCATAAATCGTAAATTCTAACACGACCCGCATTTTTCCCTATTGAACATAGAAGAACAGAAAGTGTGTGTTATTATGCAACAGATGCACAGTTTGACGTTCTATATTTAGACATGTGACGTAATCATTATACACGTGACGTAACCACTAAAAAGCCGACGCGCTGAAAATAAGTACGGAAACAAATCAGGCGCAATTTTGCTTAACTATCAAGTAAGGCAACATTTATTTGTTGATGTCGTGTTAGAATCGAAATAATATATCCAAATCAGTGATTTTATCGCTTGATAACATCACGGTTTGTCGTTCGGATGCGCATCATTATATCACTCGGGCTACGCCCTCGTGATATAATTCCTCGCATCCGAACTCCAAACAGTGATGTTATTGAGCGATAAAATCACTGTTTGGGATACATTATTTCTTAAGTAATAACAACTTTTCTATTTGATCAGGATAACGTTTTTTTCTCAAACTAGTTATGTACGTTTTACTGGAAATAAGATTTTAAGTTTTGACAATTATATTAATGAATTAAAATAACAAGTACTAGTATTTGTAATAGTAGTTTTATATGTAACCAGAAGTAGTCAATCACTTAATTATTGATAAAATTGTTTCCAGACCTTTGTTGACTGAACAGTAAGAAAGGTCTAGACGGTCTTGCCGAGTGTACCTAATATTTTAAAAGAAAAACCCCGTCATGTAATTACAGTAATTACAGTATCATATTTAAAAGCAGCTTTTTTCATTCCAATAAAATCTATATGAAATCTACTTTTCCTGAATTGTCATTTTCAACAAATAACAGAGTTATAAAAGAGAATGTTATAGCTAGTATCTAGAGGTTTTCCCGAAAAAAAAACCCACAAGAAATCTTCATGCGGTGGCTCCTTGTGTATCTTAGGTGCAAATTAAAAAACTATAATTATTTACATATTTTTCTCAAAAATTCAGACTTAAGAACATGCAAGCTATAGTAAAAAATCTCTGAAAAAAATCTAAAAATAAACTGTAGGTTTCTGTGCATTTCACGTTCATAATTCAAAATTCATGTTTCTACAATTTCAAAGAAGATATCAGTCTTCACACATAGCTTGACAGCTTCTGATGCAGTTTTAGGTATATATTTTATAATAAACCTTTCTCAGAAATCTTCAAACATGCAACATTGATAAATAACAATATTTGAAATATGGAACTTTCACTTAATAATTATATAAATGACCAGGACTTCCTTTAGATTTGGTGGAAAACAACATGTCATTTTTTCAAAAGTGGAAGAAAAAATGGGTGTGGTAAACTATATGATTTTAAAAGATATTTCCAGATGGGAAGAGGTCTGTAAATTGCCCTTACTTTAAAATAGAAAAAAAAACTGACAATGTTTGATACAAACCGTTATAAAAGGGTGATTCTTACTGGTTAAAATGCTTCCTCATTAGCTCAACTTTTTTCAAATAAAAAAAACAAATACAGGTATCCTTGCAGCCATTGCGGCGTTCCCGTTGCCGTCCGCAAACTTTAACATTGGTTATATCTTTTTAAGTTCTTGGTAAACTGACTTCTTACTTGGCATCAACAACCCGTAGGACAAGACCTTCAAGTAGACCAGACTAAACTTGACCTTTATTCATCAATGACTTTGACCTTCAAGGTTAAATGTCAAAATTTTCTGCCATAAGTGGCTATAACTTTTATGCCCCCACCAGTGGCTGGGGCATATAGTGTTACCCCGTTCCGTCCTTCGGTCCTTCCGTCCTTTCGTCATCATTCTGTCATTCGTCCTTCTGTCATCAACAATTTCCGTTCATTATTTTAGTAATGGTTGCACGTATTCAACTCAAATTTGACATATAAATATATCATAGGAAAATACAGGTCAAGTTCAAATTTGGTTACGGTCCAATTATTTTTGGCAGAGTTATGCCCCTTGATTAACTTTTTAGTTTCCGTTCATTATCTTCCCAACAGTTGCACACATTCAACTCAAATTTGACACATGAATACGTAAAAAGAATGTCACAAGTTCAAATTAGGTTACGGTTTAATGATTTTTTGCAGAGTTATGCCTCTTTCACTTTGAAAAAAATAATTTAGTTTCCGTTCATTATCTCCGAAACATCATTGCACATTCAACCCAAATTTAAGATATGGATATGCCATAGAAATGTCCAGGTCAAGTTCAAATTTGGTCATGGTTCTATGATTTTTGACAGAGTTATGCCCCTTTAACTTTGAAAAATAGGAAAATGTTCAGTTTCTGATCACTATTTTACCGACAGTTTTATATATTCAACTCAAATTTAATATGTGAATATGTCAAAGGAATACGCTGGTCAAGTTTGAATTTGGTCATGGTTTGGTGATTTCTGAACTTTGA